GGGTTAGGAATGTGCCGTCATAAACAAGTTGAGAACGAAAAAAACAACTTTATTTACAATTGGGGCAACCCACAGTTGTTTTTTTGGGGGGGGTTGGGGATTAGGGGGGTTAGGGGGTTTAGGAATGTGCCGTCATAAACAAGTTGAGAACGAAAAAAACAACTTCGTTCTCACTATACACAACTCCACAGAAAGAGCATCTGATAGCCAATATTGGTGTTGCATACCACCGAACAATATTCAATTTGGCCAAGTTCCTGACAACGCTGGCCTGAGAAGCCAACGCTGTAGATTGTAGGACACCAAGCATGCCCAGGCACGTACGCAAGGCAAATGGGTGGGTACACCTCTAAATTAAATGTAGGCTGGGGAAGGGGGGGAGGGGGGGAGGAAGGGGGAGGTGCAGCAACTGGCCATAGTGCTCGGCACTATCATGGCCAGTTTCCCTCACTGGCGATGCCTGCACATCCCCACATCACCATGATGAGGGGTTGGTACAGCTTTGACAAACCCAGTACCCCCTGGGCTGGGGAGAGATCCGGGTTGGTTGGTGTTCCCTCTTAATATACAAAGAGTAGTGAGAGGATGAGAGAAGTGGGATAAATATGCATAGGGATTGAGAGAAGAATATAGATTAGTTCTCAGCTATCAGCCAGGCCACCCTGGTCCCCTTTTTTCCCGGGCGGCCTGGCCGTGCAAGGACCCGAGAAGGTCCCAGCAATTTTTTTAATTATAACAAAAATCCGAAAAATAAACTGAACAACTTTTGCCTCAGGGTCACATCAAAATACTTTACCGAATTTAAAATAAAAAATCAAACTATTTTTTTTTTTGGCCCGGCCGGGCAAGTGGTCCCGAGCCACTGTGGTAGCCTAGGATAGTAGTTTGAAAAATATAATAAAAAGCATCCTTCCAGCAGAGCTGACCAGATCCCTAGCCCTGGATAAAGTCAGTGCTTGGAAGGGGGCAAGCTCCGTACTATTCGGATGTAGGTGGTTTAGGACTGAAACATGGAGTCTGTCAAGACAGGGAAGCAGGATATGAGCCTGCGATTCGCTGTGCACAAGAAGGGACACTGGACCCGATTTCCAGGAGGTGCATCTCCCCACCAATAGATTGGAGACACCAGAACAGGAGGCCTAGCGATGGTGGGTCGCGCGCCGTTAGAACTGACTGTGCGTGGATTGCCGTGTCTGTGTGGTGTTGTGTTTCGTGTGTGTGTGTTGGACTCTACAGCCCTGCAGGGGTGGGATGGATATCATGGCCAGTATGATCGCACTTTTGAAAACCGCGTCGGGGCTGTGGTGGTTGAAGGGCTGACCCGACAGGACAATTTCACCCAAAAATAGGAAAAGTACCATGAAAGATGCAGCCGCGGCATTCGGGACGTGAAAGAAAATTCTGCCCCCACAGGGCCGACAGCGCAGGGGCTTTTGCAGAATGGACGGCGAAAGGGACTGCATGCCAACAGGTACGCAGGCCGACGGTACCTGTGGATGGACGTACCAAGGAGGGAAGGCGGACAAGGGGGGAAAAAAAAAAAGGAATCGAGGTAACACCGACTTTCTGGGACAGGGGTAGGGGGTATGGGACCTGTCCAGAATCCTACCCCCCACGCATGTTACACGCTGCGCCTGCACACACAGGCCATTTTCCAGGCCCTGCGCCCTTCAGCCAAAAAGCCTAGAATTCAGCCTGAAAACAGGGGCCTACAGTCCCTGTGTCGTTTCAAACTAAAAATGGCAAGAGCCTTTTTAGCCTGAAACGAAGGGCTATTTTCGGTCAGAACAACCGGCCCTGAAACTCAGGCACCAAACCAGGGTTTCGGGAACAGGCTATTCTTAGCCTGTATCCATGCCAGCCTCAGCAGATGCTGCAGCGCCAGCCCCTAGCACACTTCGGCATTGGCACCTCGGCCTGGCTGGCCCTTCAGGATGTCAGGAGGCAGGCCGTGGATTGGCAAGAGCAGCCTCCTCGGCCTGGCTGGCCCTTCAGGCAGTCAGGAGACAGGCCGTGGATTGGCAAGAGCAGCCTCCTCGGCCTGGCTGGCCCTTCAGGCAGTCAGGAGGCAGGCCGTGGATTGGCAAGAGCAGCCTCCTCGGCTTGGCTGGCCCTTCAGGCAGTCAGGAGGCAGGCCGTGGAAGAATATAAGTACCCCCCCAGGCACTTCACAATTCATTATTCAGGAGGCAGTAGTCTTCAGGATTCGGGAGCAGCACTCTGGAGGGAGCGCTGCGTTGTAGTAGTGGTAGAATTAGCTTGTAGTCTTCAGCGCTGGGCGCAATAGGTAGCTGTAGTCTCCAGCGCTGGGCGCCATAGCTAGGATAGTGTTAGAGAGAGAGAGAGAGAG